TGGACCAGAAAACTTCATACTGTTAAGATAGCAATAATTTCCCAAATTGATACAGAGAGCTCTATTAGAATCTCAGTTGGCTCCTTTATAGAAGTTGACAACACTGATCTTAAAATTCATATGGAAATGAAAGGGACCAAGAATAGCCAAAATAATACCGAAAAAGGAGAACAAAGCTGGAGGACTCACACTTCTTGATTTCAAAACTTAGTTCAAATCTATAGTAATCAGGACAGTGTACAACTGGTGCAAGGATAAACATATAGATGAATAGATTATAATTGAGAGTCCAGAAATAAACCTATACATCTATGGTCAATTTATTTCAACAAAAGTGCCAAAACCATTCAATGAGGATGATCAAATGGTCTTAGGACAACTTGATAGCCTTACTCAAGGGAATAAAGTTAGATCCTTACCTCCCACCATATGCAAAAGTTAAGTCAAAGTGGACTTAAATGAACCTAAATGTAAGAGCCAAAACCATAGAACTCTCAGATCAAATTCTACCACAAACAGACAAACGTTTATTAGCAGGTAAGCAAAAAAACAGTCATGCGACCTCTTTCCCCAATTCTCCTGTCTTTTTAGGTACTTTGACAAGCACCTTGCAGGAAATAATCACTTTGTTGTGGTCACAACAAAATTTTAACATCAGGATGGGTGACAGAGATGACATAGGCTGCCCTCCATTAGGTGGGGACCACAAGTACAAATTCTGTCCACAGAGCATCACTCCAAATGTGCTCAGCTGCTGGGTTTGCCAGATCGAGGAAGAAAGTGCTAGTGGAAGTCTTTTCAGCCAACCACATGCCCTAACATCATTCATTTCTCCAACAAAAACATACTTCTAATGTCCCCTGTGATAACTAATAAGCCCTCTGGGGCAGATGGAGATAAGACTGTTGGAAACCCTTGTCTTGGTCCATTCTGGACCAATCTAAATTGCGGATTAGGATTCTTTACATGTTAACCAACAAATGCTGACTCATCTCACTATGGCATAGATGAAAGTAAAGTATAATGTAGTTATTACCTGGTTTGCCCATATTTTAGGTCTGTCTCCCTTTAATCCCCAACAACTGTCCTGAAGTCACAATGAGTAAAAATACAGCCTAGGTTAAACAACATGCTTGCTACATACATGCAGCTTCCATTCAAATCCTCTAGCACCTCCCAGCCCCTCTATTGTCCTAATGAGATCACCACCATTGCATTCTCCTGCAGAGAAATATAAGAGCCGCCACTGCTGATATCCAAATTCAAATGATTGATTTCCTGGTGGCCTGGAGGTAGCTACTTGGATCCATGTAGAGTAGCTTCTGCGATGCATCGCCTCAGGAATGGAAATCTTGTTTCTGAGCTGCTGGGAGTTCTACTAGAAGCCGTCCTCACTCACCGGCTCTCTCAAGGAACTCCCCAGGCTGAACACGGCTACCTCATAGAAGGTTATAGCCCAAGGTTGCAGTTGCTGGGGCAGTTCACATCCAAAGACTGATCAATCCTGGGATATAATGGTCTGGTTCCCTTGCCACCCCACCTCTGAAGGTCCATCCTGGCTCAGAGCTCCCGCCTTCTCCCCGGCTCAATCCCGCCTCCTTCCCCTTGCCCACAGGTGTTGTTCCCAAGACCTCCCCAGTAAACCTCCCACACACTAACCTCCATCTCAGAGTCTGCTTCACACACTCATTTGGAACCATCTACTCTAGCATTATGGGCTTGCAGGTGTCCGTGCTTCCTTGCAGCACGTGTAGCATACCCACACAGAGGCACTCTGCAAGCATCCTGATACACAGGAACCCATGGTATAGCACCAAACAGGTGTGGCTCCTCTGGGCTCCACTCCATCAGCACAGTCTCTTCTGGGTATGGCTGCGTTCTGCCTCAGGACCCTTGTGTCTAAGTTTTGATCACTTACTCAATTGTTCAAAAGATGATCTTTAAGGACTATGCCTTATATTTAGTTTTCATTTGTACTGAAGTTGCACATGCACTTAGTTGAAAGAATCAAATAATTCTACAAAGGTTGGCAGAGACTGCTGACTGAGTATTTGCATCACTTCTCACCTTCTTCAACAGCAGAACTCCAGGGTTTCAACTGAGCACATGGCCAGCAGCTGCCCCCACGCTTCACAGCCTCCTCGCAGTTCTGGGCCACGTGCCCACATTCTAGCCAATGGCTGCCGGCCCTCGGGGCCTGTTCCTGTCAGGTAGGCACGTGTGCTCGCCTGACCCATTCTCCCTTCCTGTGGGCTAGGAAGACAAGAACTAGAACAGCTGCCTCAGTCCCAGAGAAGGAAGCCACATTTTGAGGGTCACAGAGATGCCCTTCCAAGCCAAGTTGCTTCTCTTCGGACCTTATCAAACAGCAGGAGCTTACACCTATCCCATGTAAGCCTCTGTACTTTGGGGTCTTCTTGCTAAAGCAGCTTGACTTGTACTTTCATCCATATTGCTAGCTTAAGCAAACCAAGAAACAAGGACCGTCCTCTCCATCCTCTTTTCTTTTTTCCAGAAGCAACCATGATATGTTTAAATAATATACTTTTATTTGGCATTTCATATTTGATGAAGTTGAACTTAAACCTGCCTTTTGATATTTTTCTGTTTTTATCATATCTACAGAGACTCTTCTGTTTCTCCTTTACCACCATCTTCTATTTTCAGTAGATGGTACTACTGTTTTACACAATCTTATTTCCTCAATCTTTATCTGGTAATGTCTGTTTTGCTTTTTTTTTTTTTTAAGGGTTTTTCTGGGTATAGAATCTATCCTTGACAATTTTTCTGTGAACCTCTCTGAATCTGTCATCCCAATGCACCCCAACCTTCATTATTTTTTATGAGAAATCAGCTGTTAATCATTTTTATCTTCTTTATGTGATAGAATACTTTTCTCACTTCTTTCAAGATTTTTTTTCTTGGCTTGTTCTTTAAATAGTTTGCTTAGGATGTTTTTAGGTGCATATCTTTTTTTTGTTTGTTTATCTTGCTTGGTTTTTTTGTGGGCTTTGTTTTGTTTTTTGAGTTTCTGGATCTATGGATTAATGTTTTTCAAATATGAGAAATTTTTGGCCTGTATTTCTTCAACTATATTTTCCTGCCCTTTTATCTCCCTCTTCTTCTATTATTCCCTTTATGCATTTGTTGGTACATTTGATGTTACCATGATCTCTGAGCCTCTGTTTTTTTTTTTCAGTCTCTTTTTCTCCATATGTTCTTCAGGTTGAGTAATTTCTGTTGATTTTTCTTCAAGTTCACTGATTCTTTCTTCTGCCATCTCAAATCTACTCAATTTTCATTTCAAATATTGTATTTTTCAGCTCCCAGGTTGTCATTTGGTTCTTTTATCTATTTTTTACCTCTCTAATGAGATTCTTTGTTCATTAAATCACTAGCATCAGTTTTCTCAAATACTATAAACACACTTCCTTTAATTTTTGAATATGTTTATGAAGTCTTTGCTAAATATAACATCTAGAGATACTCAGGCAGTTTGTATTGAATGCTTTTCCTCCTTAGTGAATTATGTTGAAATCACATCAACTAAAGCAATTTAATAAGAGTAGACTTAGAGAAGACTTGTAAACTTTTCAAAGCTATCCATTCAAAGCTATCAGAATGCCAGCATTTCACCTTTTTATCTATATGTTATTTTAGTGAGTGATATTTTATTTTTAGATACTTTTATATTTGTTTACATTCATTTTAAAGTAAATACTGAGTTATTTTAATCCAGCCAGTTGCAAGCATATTTCTTAGTGTAAGTGTCTAACATTTTAATGTAGTATGTTGGAATATAGATGATCTTCAGATGGAAAAAATAACATGTTGTTATGGACATGAAGATTTGGAGGATTGAGGATTTTATTTCTATGCATATTCCTTTCTGTCCCCATTCTGTCACAGAAAAATCCCTGTTTCAGTCAGGAATATGATATTTCCTCCTCTTTCACAACAGAAACTTAATTGAGTTATATATAAGTGCTATGTTGTTTTCTGAACTATTTCAGTCTTGTATTAGCACGACAATATAACGGGTAGCTAAAGTAAAGATGGCAAAGGTAGTAAAGACAGATTTTATTTGGCACTGTTGCAATAGGCAAGAGCAGTTTCAGCAAAACTGAGCTCAACTTTCAATACAGCAAGACAGCTGGGGAGTTATAGCCAGCAAGCAGAGGAGTGGTTCAGTGGGTAGAAAATTACCAAGAGCAGACATCAAGGGTAGGAGGATTCTTGCTAAAGGCAGGCCAAGCACTTAATACATCCAGGATGGTGAATGAGAAATTTGATCCGATATCAAGAGTAGGAGACTTAGTATTTTTACTAAAACTGGGCTTCGCAGGCCCAGGACTAGGCCTAGCCAAAAGAGGGCTCCAGGACCCTATAGAATTTGGCTAAAGAGAGTGTCTTTGACACAGCAAAAGGAAAAGGCAGAGGAAATTATTAGCTATTTTTAGAAAAGCAAATACTACAATCTAAGCTACCATACTGATTTGTACTTCAAGTTCTGAAGTGGCAATTGATATTACCAGAACACAGGCCACACGTTTAATTGATGGAGATTTTGTCCACATTCTACAGTGATAATTCCGATGCACGCAGAGCACAGCCTGACCCTGACATAGGGGACAGGGGGCATATCTACCATAAAAGGAGGGCCCGCCACGTATCTCCTCATTGCAAGGGGTCCTCTGGGTTCCCCTTATTTATGAGGAGGAAAGTGAGGCTTAGCCAAGGCCGTCACCCCTCTCCCTCCCCATGGGGTGGACGCCGACGAGCTCTAAAGAAGAGCTTCTTGAAGCCAGCCGGCGTAACGTAGCTGCGCGGGTCGGCGTCCAGCCCCGCAACCCCGAAACCAGCAGCCACCGTCAACTTGCCGCGAGAACAGCCTCGCCCGCCCGCGCCCCGCGCCTGCGCACTCCGCGCCCGCCCCGCGCCCTTCTGGGAAATGTAGTCCGGCGTCCTGGGCTGCAGGCGCCCAGCAGCGTCCGCCGCGGGCGGCTCCCGCTCCCGCCGAAGAGGGTGAGTGCGGAGCCCACGGCGGAGACTCACGGTTGTGGGTCTCGGAGGCCCCCGCAGGAGCAGCCCAGGACTGCGTGGTGAGGCCCCTTCGGCCTGAGGGGTAGGGCCGGCCTCTGCCCCTGCGGGGCCCGGGCCACCGAGCTCCAGGTGCACCCCTTGTCAGCCCCGGGAGCCAGGCCGCGGTGAGAACACCGAGAGCTGAGACTGTCCCCCGACGCGGTTCTTCCAGCTGCCCCAGAGGGCGCCGAGGGCGAGTCACCGCCCGGAGCAGCGAGGGACGGGGACTTGGGGCGGCGGCCCCGGGCCCGAGGGGTCCGTGAGGGGCCGAAGGCCCTGGGAGTCGCTCGGACCCTGGGTTCCTCCCCGTGGGCTTTGCCCCGGCACCGCGCATCCCAGTCCCGGGACATGCCGCCAGCGTGGAGGGAACCTGCCCCTCGGAGGTCTCGGGGGATGCGGGACCCGAGTCGGCGGTCTCCCTGCCCTCTGTATATCCGCGTCTCGGCCCCGCCTTCTGGTTTCCGATTCCACGCGACGCTGGCGTGGGCTACGCCTGACCCGTCTCTCCGCAAGAATGGGGAGGCCAGCCCCGTGCAGATTTCTACTTGAGGAAAATTTTTTGTGTAAGCAATTTCTTTCATTTAAAAGTTCAGTATAGGGCAACTAGAAAACTCATAAGCAAAATCATTCAAAGTCTGCATGTCGGCGTGTATAGGTGTATAAACATAGAAGTACTTTTTTAACAGAAATATGAATAGCAGTATCCTTTTCTCCATTTACCTTTTAAAATTGAGTCATGAAATGCACTTGGTAAGGTATTTGAATTGCACAAATCTTAGGCTCCATAATTTTTAGCGGTGTGACCACCATCAAAGGAAGATAGAAAATAAACTTTTAAAAAAATTTAATATGTGGAAACCATCTACTTATACCAAGTTTTAAAAACAGCTATGTCATTTTAATGAGTGGGGGAAAGTATGGCTGTGCCATAATTTAATCCCCTTGTGTACTCTCGGGTTTTTATTTTCACTGTTATCAACAATATAAGTTATCTGGCTATATGCATCTTTGCATTCTTGTCTGATTCTATAAATCTCTTAAAGTGAAATTTCTAGGTCAAGGGTACAGCAAGGCTTTTGATACCTCCTGCCTTACTCCCTCCAGAAAAGTAGCAGTTGATATAGACGCTTGCAGTGTAGGAGTGCCAGGTTGATCACATCCCACACCAGCTCTGGAGTGTTAGTATTGTCTTGAACTTTTCTGAGAGATGCAAATGATAGGGTTGTTTAAATTTGCATTTTGAACACTGTGAATATCTTCATGCAGCTTGCATTTTGTTTTTTAATTTTGTATCTGGTACACAAATGTGTTTCCTGATCATTCAGAAATGTTACATGTTCATATGGTCAGACATGAAAACTTTATCTTCATGTTTGGGTCTTTGACATCATTGTTAGGAGGGCTTCTGTTCCATGAGATCATAAAAATGTTCATGTGTAGTTTCTCCTAGTACTTTATGTGTAAATTTTTATTCTTTTCCAAATGGTAAGCCTTTGTTACAAGTTATCGAATAATTCATCCTTTTTTCACTGATATGAAGTGTCATTTTTTATATCCTGAATTGTCATATGTAAATTTTCTCTTGAACCATTTATGTTGGTAGAATTTTAGTTTGTGCCATCTATCCTTTTCCCTGTTGGGCTGTAACATCTGTGAGGGCAGTTTGATCTGATTTACAGCTGTATTTACCCTCACCCATTGGAATGGTGCCTGAGACACAGTAGATAGTCAACAATATATCTGGTGAATAAGTGGTTCTGCCTACACAGTAATATTTCGTTCTAATGAATGTAGCTTTATAAATTTTGGTGGGCAAGTTCTCTCTCATCAGTATTCTTAAAAAAAAAATCCCTGGCTACTGGAGGACACATTAACTTTAATAAATTTTTTCCATAACTAACTTTAAAGAATTCTTACTTAGGTGTAACTTGGTGATAGTTCATGCCTATAATCCTAGCACTTTGGGAGGCCAAGGCGGAAGGGTTGTTTGAGGCCAAGAGTTTGAGACCAGCCTAGGCAACATAACAAGACCCCATCTCTACAAAAAATAAAAAAATAAAAAAAATTAGCCAGGCGTGGTGGCATGTGCCTGTAGTCCCAGCTACTAGGGAGGCTGAGGCAAAAGAATCACTTCAGCCCAGGAGTTCCTGGCTGCAGTGAGCCTTGATCATGCCATTGCACTCACTCCAGCCTGGGGGACAGAGCAAGACCCTGTCTCTTTTAAAAGAAAAGTGATACCTTAGAATATTGAGACATCTTATCTAAGAATATGGCATGTCTCTCTGTTCATCTTTAAATAAGCTTAATAAATACACTTAATAAGTAAAAATTGTGGTTTTCTTTATGTAGATGCCATGCATGTCTTTTTTAGTTTATTTTTCACCGTTGCAGGAGTCTTGTTTCTCACGGCCTCTTTCCTTCCTTCAGCTCTGCTTCCTCTGGATTCTGCCTCTCCCCTAGAAAGGACCCCACAGGAAGGAAGGAGAAGACAATGGCTGCTGGGCCTCTGCCATTGGGAGCTCAGGTGAGCTCATTTTCCTCTCTCAAACCTGTGTCTTACTCCTGTGCTGTGTGTGGGCTTCACTGCAGAGGACAGGTTATTGAGGTACTAGAATGTTGGATATTCTTCACAAAGCTTTCCTCGGTGTCCCTCACCTCAGTTCCCAGCTACCGTTTATTCAGTCAGCTAGATACCCTGACCTGCTGAGTTCTTGGTGTGATTCCAGGGTCAGAAAAGGAACAAAAACTATATGAGAGCTGGTCCTAGTGCTGGTAGGGCCTATGGACTCTAAGGGATCATAAAAGAGGACACATCTGTTCAGATACAGTGACGATGATTGCACAGGAATATAGTAAGAACAGGTGTGGTTAGGTTCCCAGATTATCAGTGCTCCAAGACTGAGGGAAGAGGGTGATCAGGGTGGCAATCAGGAGAAGCAGGGAATGTCACACATCTCAAGGGCTGGGAAGGGATAACTGGAAGAGATTTACTATAATGGAGACAGTGTCCCAAGTTTAAATCCTGACTCCACCATTTAGTAGCTGCATTGTCTTGGGCAAGTGGCTTGACTTCCGTGAGCATCAGTTCCTCGTGCTTACAACATCAACTGGGTGTCTTCTGTATACTTAGCATTGTTAAGAATTTCAGGGCTGAATGCAGTGGCTCATGTCTATAATCCCAGCTACTTGGGAGGCTAAGGCAGGAGGATCACTCAAGCCCAGGAGATCAAGACCAGCCTGGGCAACATAGCAAGATCCTATCACAAAAAAAAAAAAAAAAAGAATTTCACATGTTTGTTTCATTTAATAATACCTACTTCATAGTTTTGTTGGAAGCTCAAATAAAATAATGTAAGTAAAAAGTGCCTGCCATGGTTCTTGCAGTGTTGAAAGTGTTCAGTAAGTAGTAGGCACTCCTAGTATTATCCCAATGAAGGGCTTGGTATTTAGAATTCTAGAGGGGGGGCAAATGTAGCTATAACTGTTAGTGAGACATGCTTGGCTGGAGTAGAGGGAATCAGACAGGTTGGGGCCAAGTGCCAGGAAGGAAGAGTTTGTATGGGGTGGTGGCCATGAGGGTAGAGGAGGAGGAGATCAGTCTGAGGAATTTTGATAAGGGAGTTGGTACTATCAGAGCTTTTCTAGGAAAAGCCGTATCTATCAGATAGAGGAAATCAGGGAGCTGGGACAGTAGGGAGGATTCCAGGCTTCTCCGAAAAAGAAAATGAGAAATCCAGGGACTTGGCCCTAGGTTCTGGTTTTTTAAGGTTAAGTTTACTTAACCTCGTTTTCTGCAGTGTTGAAGGACTTAAGGTGTTTTCTCTTTTCATAAGATTTTGTATTTGGGTTCTCTTGTTTATTAGGGTTACTTGTTTATTTACCAAAGAAACCAGTTTACTCAGGATTCTGTACCTTGTATTATATTTTTAGTTTTTTGCATTTCACGATATATCTTGGAGGCCTGACTCTATCAGTACATCAAGGGCTATTTTCTTCCCTTATGTGGGTACAACCTAATTTATTTAACCAGTCCCTGATGGGCATTATCCTAGACTCTTGGTGTCAGTCAGCGACAGACATTTCTTCACTTTTGCTGCTGCTTCTCTGAATTACTGATTGATCACTTGGAGCTGTACAGCAGATAATGGGAAATGAGTGACTAAAATGTCGAGAAATAAAACGTAATTGTTAAATAGATGTTATTATAAGCTGTAAATTGAATGGAATTATGAAGTATAGTAATAGATTTGGCACATATCAATGCAACATGAAAGCCATTTTCCTTTCTCATCTTTTTTCATAGTTTTATTTTTCCTTTACTGGCCAGTGATGTGACATGAATTGCCCAAGTATGACTTTTATTTGCCTTTAAATTTTATCATATTTTTCTGAATATAAATATTAGGTATATTGTCTAATCATATCTTATGGCCTTTTTAAAAATGTATGTTTTAAGAAAAGATATTTATTATTTAGACCACTGTAATTAGTCCCATAAGAACAATATATACCATGTTTCTTTAAAAGGGTCAATTTCCTTTCAAACACAAGAACTATATAAAGCAATACTGTAAATGCAAAACAGTGGTCACATTACATATCTGCAGGCTTAATCATTGCAAATATATTTTTTTAATCTTATGGCTAGATATTTTCTCTGAAACACAGTGTTAGCACTTAGACAAGATATAGCTGAAACAGAACAAAAACTTTTTGTTCATGCTAATTTTAAGTTTGAATCTGTGATATGTCCTATTTTAAAATGTATTGCCTCTAATTGCTTTTATGACAATAGTTTAGGCAGACGAGCTTCTCCTTAGCCACCAAAAGTAGACAACTCTTGTTCCTTAATTTTATTCTTCAGTCTTATGTTCTCTGTTTCTAATGCTAGGACATAGCTATATCAGGACTGATGTTTTACAGTTTTACTTAAAAACACTTAAACACATACAGACCAAATTAATACAGCTCAGATATAACTAGTAAAGTACAAAAGAGAAATTGTGTCTGTGACAAAGGAATAAAAAAGTCTTGGTAATTTTAAGCATAACAGACTAAGTTCTTTATTTAAAAACTTTTTTTTTTTTTTGGTTTTAAAGGGAAAAACACTAGTTGCTACATGAGTTTGGTCTTAGATTTAGTCAGACAATAAAATAATGAGACAAAAACACAAGACTTGTTCCAAAGTCACAAAATGACATTGTTGAGTCTACATTTTTCTCCACTTTTTTTGTGTGTATGTGGAAAAAATACCTTAGCATTCAATACTAGAGAAAATATTTTTCGCTAGTAACAGAATATTTATATAGGGGAATATTGCTATGATCTTCAAACAATATAAAACTAAATTTACAAAAACATGGAAGGCCAAGTATAAGCAATCTGGTATTTGCTTCAGTGTCCAATACCATCATAATTATCTCTAGCATAAAGGGAAGAAGTTATGGATCTCAAGTATCTTCAATAACTGCCAGTATAACTTGTACTACTGTCCTTCTTTGAGAGATACCTTTCCCAATATTTGTGATTTAGCTCCAAAAAGTCATCTAATTTTGCTATGCCTTTAGGTACTGAGTTAATTTTAAAAGTGCTTTGACTTTATCTCGATTTAGGTGTGAAGATAAAAGGCTTTATCTTTAGTCCAATCTGTGGGTTCATTAGAAAATTTCTTCCCATATCATCAAAAATAATGGTGGGTTTTTTGCTACAAAACTCCAAAAACCTTCGCCATATAACACTAAGAGGTTTTATGTCTATTAATCCTCTCCTTGCAATATGTGCTTATTGCAGTAGCACTGTCCAACATGAAAGTAATCTTATAATTTGCATTTGTGCTCACTCCCAGCTCTTTCATTTCAGCTTCAATCCGCTTCATATTTGTTGCAGACCAGATAAGAATGTCGTAGTCCTCATATGCAGATGTTAGGAATTCATGAAGACATGGCCACATTGAGTCTACCCCAGTCTCTTTACAAGACCTGCAGTCAAATAATGTATAATCAATATCTACTACCAATAGCTTTTTCCCTTCCCTGGGATGATTTGAAATTTCTGCTTTGTACTCTTTTACTCTGCGAGAAATTTTCAGTAGATTTTCTTCCCTATTTTCTACTTCACTTACTTCATTTTCAATATCAAAGTCATTGACAACATCATCATTGTAAGGGGGGGATCTAAGACATCCTCCTTGAACTTCGAGTCCAGGTAACTTTTGGCATTATGGCAGCACTCCTGTAAGGGTGTTGAGGAGCTGAGATGTAACACAGTTTCCTGTTCTGAAAGGGTGGTCACTGAATATTCCTGTCTGCCCCATTTTATGAAGATAGCAAGAGCCATTCTTGAAACATATGCGGAAGCAGCTTTCCTTTAGAAAAAAAGTACCTGGAACAAGGCAGGGCCAGGGCAGTGGATGCACAAACTGGCCACAGTGGAACCAAAGGTGACCAGAAATCCTTTTTTAAAAATTTAAAGGCTATGAGATATAATTCCAGGACTCCAACCCTCAAAAACAACTATGTGTATATTCTTTCAGCTTTTTAAAATACCTATATACATCCTTTGCCCATTTTTATATTGGGTTATTTATGTATAAAAGAGGCCTTTTACATAACGTGCATAGTATTCCTTTGCCATGAGTTGCCAATATC